ACACACACACACACACACACACACACACACACACACACACACACACACACACACACACACACACACACACACACAGGTTTACTTTTATATCTCTGTGGGGACTTGTGGACTGTGGTTAACTGTGATGGATTGTGATGGACTCTGATGGACTATGATGGACTGTGGAGGACTGTGGTGGACTGTGGTGGACTGTGATGGATTGTGATGGACTCTGATGGACTGTGAAGGACTGTGGTGGACTGCGGTGGACTGTGGAGGACTGTGACGGACTGTGGTGGACTGTGGTGGACTGTGATGGATTGTGATGGACTCTGATGGACTGTGATGGACTGTGGAGGACTGTGGTGGACTGCGGTGGACTGTGGAGGACTGTGACGGACTGTGGTGGACTGTGGTGGACTGTGGTGGACAACCTGTCCATACCCAGCCTCTCATTGTGACCTGAAAAGCATAAATGTGTAAAACTAATGGATGTAAGCAACCACTGAACAGACTTTATTGGAACTCTCAGAAACTGATCATAGATGTTTTTCCACAAATTTTTAGAGTTAACAGATTCAAGATGGCTGCCACAGCAAATCAACATTAGTTATTCCACAGACAGTACAAAAGCTGTGCTGTGTGAGGAAACCTGTCATTCTGCAGTGCTGCCTGCYTGAAGCAGCAGGGCAGACTGTAAAGATAACCAGGGATAAGAATTAATCCACTTAGTGTCATCATGATGAGTGTTTGGACTGTTGGAGGTGCACTGAATACACGGCACAGCAGTGATCCCGATTCAAGTAGCTGGAAGTGTAGATGTTATCAGTCTGATTGGTTCAGTTTACACTTCAGTTTATCTCATCAATAATAATCTGATCACTCCCTTCAAACTGACACTGAGCAGCTTTGCTCTTCATGGGTAATCCTTTGACTAGATCCATATCTGAGGAACTTCAAGATAAACACCCTCACTGCACACAAGGCCCTGATCCACCAATCAAGATCCTGTCCCAAACCCTTGAACTCCTGTTTGAGGCAGACTCAACTAAACCTGATGGCTTGTGCCACCTTTATCTGAAGCACTGGATCAAAACCACGTTTTATGTAGTTTTCAATAGAAATATGAAAAGACATTTTCCCTSTTTGTTCTGAGAATTAAATATTATTTATATATTATATTCTGGGAAGGTTTATGTTTGTCCAGAAGAGTTACTGATTATCTGTGTAGATTAGAATAAAGGACCCCCCACCCCCACCCTTTATACAGGGGTGTGACTACACCCTTGAAATCTGATTGGCCACCCTGCCTGGCCACCCTCACCAGAGCTGTTAATCACTTTGTTCACACAAAAACAGATGTATACAGATATACAATGTTGTATTAAGTGCCTTAAAGTGATACTTGAGTAAATGGAAAAGCATTTTACCTCTCGAAGTCCTCTCTAAAAAATATTACTTGAATAAGTCTTAAAGTATATGACATTTACCTTACTTAATTATCAAAAGTAAATATTTAATATAAAACATACTTAATTATTCATAGTATTCAAAAGTATTGAGTAAAAGTGAGCTGTTAGAATGAAATGACATTTATTGGAAGGTCCCTCCCCAAAAAACATTTCAATAATGTTTAGTCACTATGGCCTTTAAATTGACTAAAACCTTACATGAAAAAGTTTTTGTTGAAAAATTTGAGATGTACTCGTACACTTCCTGTTTCAGCAGAATGTATCTCTGCCTCAGTCATCGTCATACTCGGCTACATACATCTGCTGTGTTCTGCTGGAGTGTGACGTGATTTGTGTCGTGCAGATGTGATGGATCACTAACAACCAATAGGGTGTTAAAATGATTTATTTTACATCTCTTTTAATTCACTCTATCCAGGAGGCCCCATATATCTGGATAGGTTTTAATTAATTTTTTGACAATAAGAAGCCTGAATGAAAACAGGAAAATTAATTAGGAGTAACAAGTTTCTACTTACCTTTTAAAAATTGTAAAGAGTATAAAGGACAGATAATTATGTGAAAATGTAAGCAGGAGTAAAATGTCATCAGAAAAATAATTACTCAATAAAAGTACAGATAACCCAAATTTTTCCTTAAATACAATACACAATACAATACACAGTACAATGCAATTTTATATGCAGCTGTCACTGTTCTGGATGTATTATAAATATTATCCATATTTCTATTTGTCTTCTGTATGTCCCAGATTTTGAATCGACTGCATAGTTCTAACGTGTTGTAGCATGTGTTCTATTTGGGTAAATAAAAACTTTAATTATTCAAAATTTTGGCGTGCTGTTCATTGCAAACCAAGACTGCAGGGAATTTAGATAAAATAGCAATTTTTCTGTGCCACCCTTCWACAGTGTGTACCCCTGGCTCTAGACATGCCCCTGCCTGTATGACCTCTGACCTACATTCATTTTTCCTTTTCACTTTTCTGTGTAAAAGATAAATTTGTTTTGACAGAGTCCTTGGTATTAAGACTTTCACATTGTTGAACATTTAATCAGTACTTAGCAATTTTTAATATTAAAAATAATATTAAAAATATTAATTAAATTATTAAAAATGAATGTTAATGTTTCACGTGGATGCATTTACCTAATAAGAAATTAGTCAACGTTTAGATTGTTTGTCTTACAGGTTCTGACCAGTGAATGTGTTTGCAGAACTTTAGAACAGGAGATAAGTTCAGTCAGTCAGGTTTACAGGCCTCAGTGAGGAATCTGAGCATCTGAACAGTGCTTCATCTTACTGTATCACTTGTGTCAGCAACAGAGAACCTTCTCTGTCTGGTTGTTTTTGCAGCTTATTTTGTGTTTCTTCCCCATGATGGTTCCTCTCTGTGTGTCACCTTGTTGTTCAGTCTTGTTGAACTATGTTTTAAATGAATTTTTGTCTGAAAATTCAGCACTACATTTATGATCAGTTTATTTATTTAGCACAAGTATGGACACAAGTCCACTGTCTAAGGCCATGAGAATAACATTAGTAAGTTTCATCAGTGCAGTTTCTGTGCTATGATTAGCTCTAAACCCTGACCTTAAGTAGTGATGACTTCATGAGATTTTTATAGATAATATTATTATTATGATTATGCCGTTTTCGTACTGTTTTTTTTTTTTTTGTTCAGTGATTTTTGGTCAACCATAGCACAAAAACAGCTGCACCAATCAACATGAAATTTGGCAGGGCTGTAGATGAGTCTGACCTACACTGCGCCAGCCAATTATTTTACGATAGACTCCATATTTGAGGAGGGGGCTCCTTTCAAAGAGGGGGTGTCTGGACATGCAAAAATGCTGATAACTCAGAAACTGTTCAACGTAGGAGCTTCAGATTTTTTTAGTTGTTTAGCTCTGATGAAGCTCTGCCCCCACCCCCTCGGACCCCCAATTTATCTGAAAAAGGGGTGTATGGACATATAAAAATGGTTATTGCTCAAAAACTATTAAGCATAGGAGCTTCAGATTTTTTTTTGGTTGTTTAGTTCTGATGAGGGGCTCTCCATCAGGTCAACCAATGAAAAAAAGCCCCCCACCCAAGCCACTACAATTTTGGGATGCAGCTAGTAGCATGACATTTATTAGGAATAAAGACTTCTGAGTTCTGGTACATTCGTGAGTGCAGGGGTCATTATGTTACTGCAATGCTGTATCTAGTTTGTCTATTTGAATGGTTATGTGCCACAGAGCTTTAAGGCTGCTGTAATTAAACCTTTACTTGAGAAACCCAATCTTGATTTAGGAGTTTTGGCCAACTATAGACCTATATCTAATCTCAGTTAAAGGGATACATGGCTCAACAGAGATAGGACTTTTCCTTAGTCTGGCTACAGTACTGAACAGAAACCTGGGATTGGTCTTGTTTTCTATTAAAGATGAAGCTTTATGTAAGGCTTTTTTAAACATAGATGTTAAAAATTATAGCTTAAATATAGCTTTTWCTAATCTAATTGAGCCAATTGGTTTTACTCAAAATGTCCACAGACCTACTCACTCCCTTCATCACACTCTTGATCTGGTTCTGATGTATGGAATAAAGAATAAGAACTTAATGCATCCTCACAATCCTGTTCTCTCTGACCATTTTTATATAACCTTTGAGTTTACATTAGCTGACTACTCAGCTATTGAGAGTAAATTTCATTATAGTAGATGTTTATCAGAGAACGCTGTAACCAAATTTAAAGAATCTCTTCCAATTTTATGTTCCTCTGTCTTACAGAGTATTGTAACATAGAGAAGTAACTTAGATGATCTTATTGATAATAAAACAACTTTTAATGCAAACCTCTCTTGATGAAATTGCTCCTCTGAAAAAGAAAGTAATCAATCAGAGGAAGCCGACTCCTTGGATTAATTCAGAGCTACGTTCTTTAAAACAAGCATCTAGAAAACTGGAAAGAAAATGGCGCTCTACTAACATAGGAGGATTTTACTTTACTTGGAGAGACAGCCCACGTACTTACATACTGTACAGTACCTGATTATTGAAAATGAATAATTACTTTCTAAAAGGTTTTTTTTACAATCTATGTTTACTAACAGACAAACAGGATTAACTTCAAAGGTTAAAGGCTAAGTTTTAACCAGACATTCTATGCAGTTTAGTACTTAGCCGATTAGTTAATGGTAAAGTTTATTTTTTAAAGAGATCTCACATAAATGTAAAACTGACTGAGTTACAGACATTTGGTGTTAGCTAACTTTGCTCAGCTGTGGTTGTCATTTTGAACTGAGTTGATTCTAAAAGATAAATAGGAGTTGAGGAGCATCTATTGTTTGCCTCTGAAAGTTGAAGCAAAATTCTAGCAGTGTTTTATGAAATATTTTGCTATGACAGAAAACACAGGTGGGCAATAATATTGTCAAATCTATTTGTTTGAACATCTTGTGTTGGACTGGTTTCTGTTAGTTTTCCGTTAATAGTTACATCATGATAAAATTGTTTTCTTAAACAGCAGAAGTTAAGTCCTAGTTCATAAAATGTTGTTGATTTAGGTGTCTTATTGATGTTTGTCTACATGAAGTGAAACCTTTTAATCCTGGCTCTTCTGTTGTTTAATAACTGTCCCACATACCAAAATTTGTCTGGTCCACTTCTGACCCACACACACACACACTAACACCCAGTGCTGATACTGCAACGAATGACGGCCCTTTCATGGCCAAGATGTGGCTTTGCCAAAGGTGGTCCATGCATGGGCCAGCACCACATAAATMCAACCACAATTGGGCCAGCTGTGGCATGCTGTCCTAAACTCTTTGTCATCATTGCCAGACCTGGCCCACATTCTGTTGACAAACCACTTGTAATGTGAAGCTGGCATCGCTGGCTGAATGCTGGCATTGCAAGTGGTTAGTCGTGAATATTTGTCATGGACTGTAGTCTACTCTTTATTTATTTTTGGACAAAGTGAAAATACACAAAGAAGTGCACTGTCATGTGCACAGGTGAGATGAACTGTTTGTGTGTTTGCTTTTTTTTCTAGCTATGAGTGTGACTGTGAGGGTACTGGCTTTGTTGGGGACCACTGTGAGGAGGACATTCCTGAATGTGCATCTAACCCCTGCCAGCATGGAGCCACCTGCATGGAGGGAGTCAACCAGTACCAGTGCTCCTGCTGGGCAGGTACTCCACATTTTCTCACTAAATGTGCTGCAAACACATCGTTGTGTGGCCCAAAGGTTCAGGCTTATAGTGACAAATAAACATTATATTTATGCCTCTCCAAATGCACCAAACCTTCTGGACATCTATGCTGGTGGATTGTTGGAGTTGTAGAAGTACAACAACTAAACATAGTGACAAAATACCTAGAAATATCTAAAGGCCAGCTAAAAGCTAGCTTTAAGCTAGCTAAAAGAAGCAGAGCAATGGCTTAAAAGTAAAAGTAGAATAAGAAGACAAAAACAGAACAAATATGTTGAAACATTTTTCAGAAAGAGAAATCTTTTTGAATGAATTGAAGAAATCTCCATATGAAAATATTTGTAAATAAAGTTAAATTGATGTCGTATGTGTGTCACCGGTCTCTCTTGTAAATTAAACTACATGTCTTGATGAGATAACCTGCCTAAATAAATAAATAAACAAATAAACAAATATTTAGATACAGTTTAAGTTAGAAAAACATAAGGTCACAGCACCCATATGAGCTGAACACTTTGAAATCAGAAAGGTGCAGGAGATACATTTTAGAATTAATTAAGTTTTAACAACTAAGTATAATTAAAAATTAATACATTTTCTAGTCACGAATAACCACTTTCAAAAGAAGGAAAAAGTATAAACCTGTGATTTTTATGATTTTCCTTCTCAGAAATTAGCCCAAATTGTGAGTTTATATATGTATATGTGTACGTATTTACATAAAACTAAGAAAGCTGTAATTCTGGTTACTGAGCAGAACTGAAATCTGATGAATGGGCTTGATATTGATGGATAAACATATGTGTATTCAGGTTACGAAGGAGAAAACTGCCAGGTGGATATAGATGAGTGTGAGCATCACCCCTGTGAAAACGGTGGTGAGTGTTTCCAGATGTCAGATGTTCTGAACTACCAGACGCTCCCTGAGCTCAGCACACTCAGTTTCACTTATGAAGCAGCAGCTGGTTTCATCTGCCACTGCCTGCCTGGATTTACAGGTACGTTCCATATCTGAAACAAAACTCTTGCTTTTACGGCTGACCCACTACTAATTCCAATACAGAGGATCATTCTGATAGTGTGTGTATGTACTCATACTTGTACTTAGAAAAGTGTTCCAGTACCACAGTACTCAATACAGATTCATGGCAGATTGATGTTTACTTCTTAGCTGAGCAGTCAGATGATAGAGGACGAGCAGTCAGCCATATGGAGGTAGTTCTGCTGCAAACCATCAATAAACACTGGAAGAGGAGGAAAACAGAAGTTTTGTATTTCACAGAGAAAGATGGTGACAGAATAAAGTTTGTGCTCAGCAATGTTTACAAGATTGGACAAAATCTAACTTTCAACACAAGCAGTTTAATAAAACATTAAAAAACAACACCGAGCTCAAAGGGTTGCTCCTTTTGTGGAGTTTAATACAAGATCCTCTGATTTCCATATCTGTTTTCAGAGTAATTGTAAAAAGTGTAACATCATTTCCTCCTTTTAGTATTCTGTTTTGGCAAATACTAAACTGTAACTACTTTCACTTAGTTTGAAAAAGATTTGGTATTGGTGCATCTCAGTTTCTTCATGCGTTGTCTCTGAGCCTGATCACGTCATCTTCCAGGAGAAAACTGCTCCGTTAATGTGGACGAGTGTGAGTCTGCTCCATGTCAGCATGGAGGACGCTGTCAGGATCAGGTCAACTCCTACCGATGTGTGTGTCCAGATGGCTTCAAAGGTAGAAGGATTTACATTTTCTGCTCTTTTAATCTTACCTCCTCACAACACATTGACCTCAAGCTGCTCTGCCTTTTCAGACATTGTGACTGGGTGCTTTTTAAGTAAAACACATGACTCTCCAGTTAAGAATTTATTTTTAGATTTATCATGATAAATCTCATTATGAGGAAAATTTATTTGTATGACTCAAAGATCTTTAGAGCATTTTTAAGGTATTGTTTTATATAAAAAAGGTTMAATTTATTTTCATACACTTTCAACAAATAAGGCAGGGCCATTCACCTAAATTGCTCTGGGGACCACAGTTACTATGGGTCAACAGCTGAGGGGCCAAACATACAGCAATTAAAATTACTATGTAAATAAACCAAGACTTCCTGTAGGTTTTGCTTGGTTTGGGTAGGGAGCTGCAGCCCCACACTGGTGATATTGTCTCATGGTTGAAAGAATACTTTGAGGATCCCATCATGCTGCACTGAGATGCTGAAGACTTCTCGGGTCGTGAGACTGTCATGGTTGAAACACACAGAGGACCTGGACAACACCTTTAGTTTAGGGTGGTGGTCCTCATATGTATAAAGTGGGACCTAAAAGGGTGTCCCAGTTTTCAAGGAAGTTCTGAACTTCTCCTTGAAGTGAGAAGTGAGAAGTTCTGACTGACTGTTGGACCTCGGACACAGAAGGACTAGTGTGGCTTTCATCCTGGTCACGGAACAGTGGATCAAATCTTTTCCTTTGCCAAGATTGTAAACGGAAACTTTGACTCCCCAGTCTACGTGTGTTTTGCAGATCTTGAGAAGTAAATGGTAAATGGACTGTACTTATATAGCGCCTTTCTATCCATCCAGGACACTCAAAATGCTTCACACACACATTCACACAGTGATGACGGCAAACTATATTGCAGCCACAGCTGCCCTGGGGCACACTGACAGAGGCGAGGCTGCCATACACAGGTGCCACCGGACCCTCTGACCACCATCAGTAGGCAAGGTGGGTAAGGTGTCTTGCCCAAGGACACAACGACTGAGTCGACTGGACGGGGATTGAACCGGCAACCTTCCGGTTCCAGGATGACTCCCCAAATCACTCTAGAAGGTTAATAATGATATTCTTCAAGGCATTGTGTGKGGGTGCTGATAGAGTCTAGGGTACCAGATTCTCCTTTTAAGGCTAACCAATTCCTTTATAATCAAAGCAAGGGCTGTCTTCACATTCTGGGCACAAAGTCACAAATATATTTATTTCTGTATTTGGTGTTCATGGATAGAACTTCATTGTCTTCATGGGGTGGATGGTGTCGGGTTTGGAAAGCTCGTTGTCTTGTCTCTGCTTTTGGCAGATGATGTGGTTTTGTTGGCGTCTTTAAACCATACTTCCAGTGTTTGCTGAGGTGGTTCACAGATGGTATAAGTGTCAGTTCCTCCATGTCTGGCCATGGTTCTTAACTAGAACATGCTGAAAGGTTGACTGGTCGTGCACGAGTCTCTGCCTCAAGTGTAGGAGTTCAAATATCTGGGAGTTTTGTTCAACACAGAGTGGAGTGAGAGATGGACTGAAAGATCAGGACTTCATCTGCTGTAATTGGAGTGTTGCTATGGACCTTTGCAGCAAAAACAATCAATAACCACTAGTCTAACTATGTTATAACCTTCACTCATGGTCATGAAATGTGGATCACATCTGAAAAAAACATCACTAAGACAAGCAACTGAATGAACTTCCTTTGTAGGTGTTGCTGAGTCCAGCTTTTGAGGTAAAACAATCAGAATCATCTAGGAAGGCCTCAGGATCCCCCAGAAAAAGCCAGGGAGGTGGGCGGGGTGTCTAGGTTTCCCTCGTGGGCTTGTTGGCTCCATGACCTAAGCACTGATGAGTGGAACAAGATGGATGGACTTTCTCTGTTAAAGGGCTGTTGTTAAAGGGCAATGGGCCCATAACTGTAAAGATAACTGTTTGCCTTTTAAAGGCCTCTTCTGAACTGTTTCAGCAAGGTACCTTCCTTTTGTGGGGCTCTAAATGCCTAAGATGAAGGGACCTGAACTGGGCTAAGTCAGACCTCCACAGTAAAAATGTTTAGAAGATAACCTTGATGGCAGGTCTCACAACCTCCATATTGACCAAGCAAGAAAGGATTAGTCCTCTCCCTGCTGATTATTCCTCATGGCTAGCCAAGGTATTAATTCCCCATTGGAATAAACTTGTCACTGCATCAGTCAAAACAGGAGGACTTGCACTAAACAGCGACCTTGAAACAGTAAAATCAGGCCACCAGCTGTCCTAAACAAAGTACGAGGTTAATTTACCAACACAGTTGTGAGCGTTAAATGTGCAGGCATCAGCAGTTGTGTGTGTGTGTGTGTGTGTGTGTGTGTGTGTGTGTGTGTGTGTGTGTGTGTGTGGTGGGGGCGGGGCAGGGTGGGCACATATGGTATGAAGGGACATCGCAAACAACACAAAGCCAATAAACTGAGCCATATGTCAGGAATCCATCATGGCCATTAAATGAAGGTCTCTTCAGAAAATTTCAGGGGGGAGTAAGATTAGAGTAAATCTGTTTAAGAACCTAATTAAAGTCTAATGAAGACGAAGACGAYCCAAAACAGTGTGAGCAAAACAAAAACAAAACAAAGACCTCTTCCAGGTTATCCCTCTGGTGTTCTGCTGGTAAAGTGTTTAATGCTTGTTACTACAACAGATAAAGACTGAAGAAATCGTATGTAAAACTACTGTCTTGTCTCAGTAACATTAGATAGCTTGTGTGTTTCAGATGAGATTSTCTACCTCTATTATTCATTCTCACTCCTGACTCGTCACATATTGACACTTGTCCAGGTTCCCTCTGGTCCAGTTTTGACGTGTCGGGTAACCCCCCTGCGTCAGTTACTGACGCACAGGGCTTTTCCAAGTTCGCACCACATAGGGTCTTTGGGTTGGGGTCCGTGGTTAATATTAGAGATCAGGATTACTGGTTAATATTAGGCAGTAAGGTCAGGGATAGGATGTCTAGGGGTAACAGAAGTTAAGTTTAGGGTTTGGGACTGTTAGTTGTCATGCCACCCGCTTCGGATGTTATCATCCATTAAATGGACGTTATTAGCCGTTATCAGTCCCATAGAATGGTTTCAGACTGACTTCAGACTGTCCCGACTGTGCCGCGTAGTGGGTTCTCCGTCCTATAGAATGACTTCAGACTGTCAGCTGGTTAGTATGAGGGTTAACCTTACCCTGAAAACACTAAGGTTTTTATGCAATCTTGTTAATATGAGGCATAAAACCACTAAGGTTAATTTTAGAGAAAATGACATGGGCTACGATAAAGTWGACCGGACTCTGGAGGTAGTGGATTGTTGCATTCCAACATATATGACACTGGTTACCCACTAAGGGGCACTGTCGGGACAGTCTGAAGCCATTCTATGGGACTGATAACCGCTAATAATGTCCAATTAATGGGCTGATAACATCCAAACCGGCTGGTCAGGCATTGTCAACACTTTTCAAAAATATKACAACGGGCTCCTCCTCCTTGTTCTCGTCTCGTCAATAACTGATGCGAGGGGTTTACCCTGTGACGAGTTGGCAGTGGGAATGACCTCCTTGTTGCTCTAAATCAGTGGTTCACAAAGTTTTTATCTTCTGACCCACAAAATATTCATRGCAAAAATTTGTGACCCCAAATATTACTGGTCTGAGTACACAAAATTTGTTAATAACCCTAAAAACAAAGGCTRCACAAATATAAATACTTATTTATAYTTATTTTGTGTTTTTGTAATAATTATAGGGAAAATATTACATCACCAATTATTTTATTACACTTTACATTGATTTATGAAGTGCAGTGGTTCCCAAACTTTTCAGCTGTTGACCCACAAAATAACAGTAGAGACATGTGCCCACAACTATTTTTGGATGATAAACATTTGTATCAGGTCAACTAAACATGGGCATAGTAACAATATTTATTATTCTATATTTATACATTTTAGGCAACTAAGGCAAAAATGTAAGTAATTTAGAAAATCTTTTCAGGACCCCACCTTGATGTTTCAGGACCCCACTTTAGGTCCTGACCCCAACTTTGGGAATCACTGCTCTAAATTCCTCTTCATGTCAGATCATCCCTTTGATGACACAGTTACTATCACAGTAAATTTAAGGTCCGTATCTGTAGAATTCACTTTGTTTTGTCCATTTTTGTTTTTGCTCAAGTATCTTATCTGCAGTGGAGTTTGGTTTACACTAAAAGTCCATCAGTTGTATACAGTCATGACTTTTTGAGAGTTTCAAATTGATTCATGAGATATTTTATTAAAGATATCAGACATCATTCTCACTTTTGTCTTTGTTTAGGGGTGATGATAATAAATCCTTCATATAATGCCTTTCTGGCTCAGAGACTCAGTCCAGCTTCTCTCAGGACTGGCACAGCCCAGTCTGAACCTGCAGCACCTCCTGCTGGCTCTCTCTAACAGCTCCTGCTGCTTGTGGCCTGCTGTAAACCAGCTCATGGAGCAGAGGCAGGACTGCAGGCCTGCACTCCTCTTACAGTATCTACTGACAGGAGCCAGATGGAAGCTTACCGCTCTGCCAGGGCTGAGCTGCTGACAGGCGAGGTGCAGCGGGTGAGAGGGAGGGAGGAACTGTTTCAGGGAGGGGCAGAGAAGGAGGCAGAGACAAGATGGGCAGGGCTGCCTTGTAATCACTTCTGCCTGCCTGGTACAGAGTGGAGGAAGACGAGTGGGAGAGGACTCTGCTGTGTCACACTTTGTGAGGAATACAGTTGTCTTTAGGCATCATGAAGGGAAGGTGGCTGATGCTGCTGCTGTGCTTCTGCTGGGGGCCACACTGCCTGACAGGTAGGGTGTGTAACTCTTCATTGTGATAGTGCCATCAAAAAATGTGTGTGCTGTCACCTTTGAGGTTAGAGTAGGTGTGTTGTTTTCACAGCTGACTCCACTGCAATCTGTGATTCCATTATTGAGAAACTTGTGACGTTTGATKTCATTGTTTATTACTGAGATGACAATATCAAGTTGTGATAAATTCACATTTTACTCTCTCCTCACATTCTCTTCTGGCATCCTCTTCATACACACCTGGCTAACAGGTGTGCACCTCAGGACCAGTGAGAGTCTGTCGAACTGAACAAACATTTGCAGCAGCAGAACTGCAGGTACTTGATCTATAACGGTCAAGTACCTGCTATTCATCTCAGACCTTTGTGAAATTTATGTTAGGCTCTCTGATATTGCAAAAAGATTTTTTTATTGTGCAATAAGTTCAAATCCATAGTTTTGTCCTTCCTGGCAGGGCCAATGACACCTACAACTCAGAAAAGAAGAAAAAAATAACTTATGTAACTTGTTGGAGTAATGAGAATCAGCATTAGTCATAAATAGTTATAGACTGATTAAATGTTCAACAAATTTGAATTGACTGATTTTGGGCACTTTTGAATAACTGGCATTCCGCCATGCCTGCAATTAATCAATTACAAAGTAGAAAAAGGACTTTGCAGCAGCAGCAGCAGTTACAACCTGTAACCCAAAATGTGGGTTTTTTTTATAAGCCAGAATGCTTTTCTTTATATTCATTTTAAATGTACGGGTTATTTTAAGGT